AAAAAAAAAACAGCTATTTCTAATCGATGGTACAGCATCGAAATATATATTTTTCGAAAAATACTCACCTTACAAATGATATCCACTTATCATAGAGTGTTTTATGTTTTTTCTGGTCTGGAAACGAAAAGAATCGGCAGCAGTGGCTTTCAGATGTGTGATTGCAATCTGGATGAAAACACTGGCCCATCGCAAACTTCGTCTCCGTGGCGTTTTGACTCGAATTATTGCTCACCAGGTGCTTTTGTCCGCTTATTATACTCTTCAATAGTAAGGCCAAAGGTTATCTTGATTCTCTTTATCTTATTTCTATTATTGGAGGATAAAATGCGCTATTATAGCTCTTGAAGTGTTCGAGGTCAACGACAATGTGTCACGCTAGGGACGCCATATTGGTTTGTTTAGACCACAGAATTCCGGTGCTATGGAAACGTGACGTAAGCACTTTAGGACTCTATGTATCTTGTGGATTGTAATTCACCTACTTTTGAAATAATTTGGATATATCAGCAAAGTTGAAATGGTGAATTGGCCACCGTAACAATTACAAAAGCTGACGTTTCGAGCGTTAGCCCTTCGTCGGAGCGAAATTTTTGAAATAGGTAGGTTACTGTGTTGGAGTTATGGGAAACAGGAGATTATGGCAAATGATTTTATCATAAACATTCAATAGCCTGCAGAACAGGTGTAATCTTTTGTGAGGAGAATTCAGATTTTAAGGAAATTCCTACATTTTCTATCTTTAGTGTCCAGTACATAGTTGTATTCAGTTGGACGCTTAATGTTGCTCCCATCAAATTTGGCACCAGGAACACTCTGTCAATACCCTTGTGCTCAAAGATCTGATGAAGCTCCAGCACCTCTAGCCACAGGCGGCCTAAGGGTACATTGTGTTATTTTGGGGTTTAAAAATCATTTCGACAGGACTACGGTACCTAATTAGGTAAAGGTATAGCCTGTTAATATGAGCCAAGCAGCCTGTCCAGCCAGCGCTTAACTCGATCTGGTTTCTGTAGCATGAAGCAACTAGGAGTATTTCTGGCCCCCCCTCCCCCCCCTGGATGGAATAATGCTAGGCCATTGCAGGTATCCTCAGCATTAAATTCGCAGGCACCCATTCAATTCTCAGTCCTGGGTGAAGAGAGGTATTGTGAGAGTAAAGTGTCTTGCCCAAGAACACAACACAATGTCCCCAGCCAGAGGACATTTACTAGACTCATACAATTAAGTACCTAGCTCCTCTTAAATTTATACATGTAGCAGTGCCTAAATAAAAGACAATGACTTGGAATTACTGAAAATTAGCTGCAGGATGCAGAGTATGAATTAATATCATGTTCTGATTGTGTGTTTTTTAAGGTTTCCATTTGTATAATTTCAATTAAAAAAGAAACATTTTTCCTCAAGATTAAAATTTGAAAATTAAAAGAAACATCCCTCATGCACCCCACTCTAACCTCAGAATGTTCAGCAAGCGCAACAAAAGCAAATTCAATCATTTAATATGTCTGTAAAGGTACATTACATACATGTAGACCAACCTTGTCATTATTGTTTTCTTTGTAGGTGTCAAAAGTGGTATCATTAAATGATAAACGTATCTTGTAATATGTAGTCCATTCTGGTGAATCAATTTTTGGGTTTCCCTGAGTAGCCACAGCACAGATGATATACTCATACAACAGGTCAATTTGTAGGAAGTCATCAGCATTGTTATTATCCACGGGTCCCCATGACTTATTGTTATTCAGTCGACCATGTTCAGCTACATATTTATAATTATATTCTGATGAGGCTGCAAAGCTGCTGTCTGGAATTTCACCGCCGATGGCTAAACCAATGGGCTTGGTATTACAAGCTGCAAGATAATAATGACAACAATTATTAGCCTTCATACCTTTTCGATTCATATCTTCTGCAGCTTCTGAAGGACCTCACCACAAGTTTAACCAGTAACTATCCCCATCATATAGAATTGCACATCAATGCAAGGATTTCCTTTCACAGTGAGTGTTTGAGCACTTCAAGATAAAATTATAATTCATTTTATTGCATTAACAGAGCAAGTTGAATAACGGCTAAATAATTTGAAAACCAAAATTTTACTGTTGAGATGTCTCGAAAGCAATACTTCACAATCAATTTTTTGTGCTAGATGAAGCAACTTTCAGAGTTTTCAATCCAATGTAGCCTTCATGAGCAGCATATTGAACTACAATATTGGTCCCTTAATTGGCTCATTTTCTCCCATTATAATCCGTTAGGTCTTATTGGGACTTAAAGCTCAGCTTTTTTGAAGATTGCCATTTTGTTACCTCAAGTAAGGAGAGTATCCATGAAGAATAAAATTAAGTCAACAGAAAAGATAAGTAAATAATTGAAATGAATTTATAATTTCATTACACAAACATTTTGTCGAAACATTCACCCCACTCTGTGTTTTAGCCAGAAACTCAAACTAATAATTATCATCTGCTACGAGACTGACAAAGACACATCCCCAGGTTAGCAAATTTGACCACCAAAATGAGTAATTAAAAACAAAAACCTTTACTTTTTCCCTCTATTATTTCTTTTGGTGATGATATTTTTCTGGTAATCAGAACATGATTTGACGTTGATAAGTGGCCCATAGGAAAAAAGGTGAGCTTTACTCTACATAAGCAGCATATATAAGAGTACATTATAAGTTCCACACTTACTTGACATTTTTTCTACTCCAAACACCTCTGTTCTCATACACACCCTGCCCTGGTGTGTTTCTGGCAAAAATCGCAGATATCTTGTTAACACTCCATAAACAACATGCTTCACTTCTGAGTTCCTGTCATCATTCCCTATCAAAACCTAACATAACAACAAACAGTATTTATCTGACCATAAATTTCTTTCAATGATATCCACAGGTAGAAAGCAACAACCACTGGAATATGATTAAAGTACATGTATTTAAAACTTTTACTTCATGCAATCAGGACTTTCATTTTATTAATGCAGTTAAATAAAAACACTATCAGTGACTTAAAACATGTACAGTCCATGAAAATATTTGTAATGTAATTTATTTTTTTCTAAGCAGTATCAATTGTCATATACCTTAACTTTCCCTCCCTCTTTGTAGTCTGTCCAAGTTGTCCCGTTTGTGGATAATCGCAGTGTGTAGTTCTTCACCCACTGATCTGCTTCAGAATTCCCTTGAGTTGAAACCGCACAGATGACATGAAGTGTCTGTAGATCAATCTGCAGATATGGGACAGTGTCACTCATTCCTCCACACCAAGATGACCCTGAAGTGTAGTTCAGTCGACCATTCTTGGCTGGTGTGCTGGCATCATATATAGAAGAAGCAGTTATATGACCATCTTGAATTGTTCCACTTCCCACTCCAAGATCTAAATCAATGCAGTGTCCTAAAGAACCAAAACCTACATTTACATTGTATAAATATATCTTATTAACCAAGCGCGACGGCCGTACTGGGAGAATATCGGCCCGAGGTCTTGACAGTACGGACCATACAAAAAAGACCGAGGGTCGATATTCTTCCAGTGCGGTCCCGAGCAAGCTTGGTTAATACGAGTTTTATTATACGACTGAAGTTCAAAGGGACACAAGTGCGGTATCATTCTATGGAAACGTGACGTAAGCACTTTAGGACTCTATGTATCTTGTGGATTGTAATTCACCTACTTTTGAAATAATTTGGATATATCAGCAAAGTTGAAATGGTGAATTGGCCACCGTAACAATTACAAAAGCTGACGTTTCGAGCGTTAGCCCTTCGTCGGAGCGAAATTTTTGAAATAGGTAGGTTACTGTGTTGGAGTTATGGGAAACAGGAGATTATGGCAAATGATTTTATCATAAACATTCAATAGCCTGCAGAACAGGTGTAATCTTTTGTGAGGAGAATTCAGATTTTAAGGAAATTCCTACATTTTCTATCTTTAGTGTCCAGTACATAGTTGTATTCAGTTGGACGCTTAATGTTGCTCCCATCAAATTTGGCACCAGGAACACTCTGTCAATACCCTTGTGCTCAAAGATCTGATGAAGCTCCAGCACCTCTAGCCACAGGCGGCC